CCACGCACACCATATGTTTCTATCAGTTTAGCAAAATTAACTTAACACCCAGTTTTCTTCATGATCTTTTAAATACACCTAATCTTATCAGCTGATGTATTCTTTTTTTCACTATCAGTTTTGAGAAATATCAGTTTTGTCTAAATTGTCCAAGTTGTCTGACTGTGCATTGTGCAGCCATGTGTGAGTTTCTATTAAGTGTGCTAAATATAAAATGCTGCCTAAAAGTTCAGGCGAGTCAAGTTATGACTAACGTACGCCTGCAAAACAACAACATTAAATTGCACTTGCAACACTGTTTAACACTGAAGTGATTCAGCTTGGGAGCTCTATAAAGCTGAAAGTTAGTAAGGTGTCAGGAATCTATCAGCTAATTACAAAAAAATCTGTATGTTTATTAAGGTAAAACCAAATATTGCTTTAATGGCCAAGAGAAACAGCCCTGTGGCTTGTGGCTCTAGAGCACAGACTAAACATCTAATGATGTGTGTGCATTACTAAAGCTCCCACCTGATTGCTTGTCTTAACACTTTGTAAACAGTGTGATAATATCTTAGGCCTAATATCTGTCCCTCTGCATGCATTACTGGGATCCTGGACTGATTAAATACCCTAGCATTTTAACTGAAAACAGAAAGTAAAGAAAAGTAACTTTTGGTTGGAAATTTCCTGTTTGACAGCAAGAAACTGAGAGAATTGTGTTGTTCTCGGAGGCTATTTGTGTTTGACATTAGCAGGCACGCACAATGCATTAAGCCAGGAATGTAAGTAATGTGCGCTTAGACATACGGCCCTAACTACACAGCGTCGACAGCATTGTTTAATGCACAGCAATAACTCTGTTAGCCTGTTACTTCTCATTGCTTCTCTTTCTCTCCTCCTCTTTGTTCACTCTGTGTGTACATTTCTTAAATGGTGCACTATAGGGTGAAAGAGAAAAGATGAGAGAAGACACTGGAAGTCTCTTCAGAGCTATTAGCTTTGTACCATTCTGTCTCCCCCCTAGCCCTGTTGAAGCAAGATACTAAAAATATTACAGGAACATTTGATATGATGCAGTGCTACTGGACAACTTTTATTCTTGCCTTAAAAATATGTTGCCGTGTTGTGATTCAGGAGGGGACCTGAACTCTATCAGTGTAAATGCAGACTTGGCCTCCACAGAGGACCCGCACCCTGGGTGAATGACTGCAAGAGCTGCTATATGGCAGGATGAAGTGTGTTCATTTCCTTATTTATTGACTCACTTGCTTTTCTCTGAGTGTTTGAAATTAATAACAGCCAGCAGAAATCAGACAGAGGGATGAAAATCAGCACTTTCCCTGCAGTGAAGCCATTCATCAAGCTAACGAGGGGGAGAATAGAAGTGGAGAGGGGGAGGGAGAGTAGTGACGTTTGGAGAGGGAACAGAAAGCGGGAGGGTAGCAGGTGCAGTGTGAGGTGAAGGGAGGGAGGGAGGGAAAGTGACGCTGGGAACAGAGGGGAGGGGAAGGAAGCTAAGTTTGTTTGGGAGGAGAGTCATTTGGAGGATAGCGGGGCAGACAGAAGAGGAGGAGCTGTGTGCCACTCTATAAAGAGGAGTAGCGATAGAAAGAAGGGCAAGTTTGACATTGGAATATAAATAGAGAGGGAAGAGAGAAACAGAACGCAGGCAGGATTTCCAGAGATCAAGTCAAGAACCACCAAGTCATAACTTGAATCTGATGATGATGTGTTGATATATTTTAAAGTCCATGCCACTGCTAGTTGATAAAGAGTGAAGCCGCTGGCTTTATGGAGCTTTATAACAGCTCTTGCTCAGTGTCTGGGTTCTTCAGGCCTCTGCAAGAGGCATCAAGAACCTAGCAAAACAACACAGCAATGATATTTCCCATAACACTTTTAACAGTACAGAATAAGGAGTATACTAAACAGAACTCTTTTTCAGTGTCCCCAACTTTCATATATTATCTCTCTTCCTTTCACTGATGGGTGATGATGGGCCCGCCCTCACTTTAAAGCCTTCACCTTGTCATGGCTTTGGTCCCACGCTGCTCTGCCTCCCTACAGTCCACTAGAGACTCAACAGTATCTCACACCCAGAGTAGGGCTGACTAAGCACTTACCAGTGAGTCTCTCTTCTCAGAGTGAGAAAGGAGCGCCATGCTGAGAACTCTGCCACAGGAAAATAATTAGCAAAGTGGAGCTCTGCCCAAACACAGGCTAAATCTAGTAGCACTTCACAGTCAAATGAAACTATAAATCTCAATTCTTTTTCTTCTGTTTTTGCTTATTTGTTTGCCCCCCTAACCCCCCCCCCCCCCCCCCCTCAAACACACACACACATATTTTTCTTAGGATACATAATTTTCACAATTACAAGTAAAATCTTTGTTTCTAAAACTTAGTTCAATCTCATACAGTCTTTTAATGAAAAGGCATCCATTGGAAGCTGCACATTGCTTTGCACTCGTTCTTCACGAGTCACTTCAAGCTGACAAATTTGTGATAGGTGCCTTGTGATGACGCAAACTGTGTCCATCTCACTGTACATGGATATATGTATTTTTAACTTTAAAGTTAGACCACAGTGTCTTTGGTCACCAAGGCTAAATATAGTCACCTCCTCCTGAACAGTCTCCAGTTTCTCACTCCTTTCCAAGAGGCAGGTGGAGCAGATAGAAGGGGGGGAAGGTGGGATAGCACCCAGTCTTGAATAAATCATCCCACAACTTTTGACCCATATGGAGGAGGTTGTTTTTATACTTCACACTGCCCCCCTTCTCTCCATGGCCTCTGCACCCCTCTGTCCCATTCATTTTCTCCCCCACATGACAGGTTAATCTGGATCGATTTCATCTGCCCTCAACGACTGAGACCAACATCCTGGCACCCAGAAATAGAGCACACTGTGACGGATTCGCCTCCTACTAACCATTACCGTTAACAAGCAACTCTAAGAAGGGGTGGGCAAGAGAAGATGTTTTGGGAAGTTTAAAAACAACATAATTTACTGCACAGAGGAAAAACACAGATGTGAAGAAACGAAAGACACTTGATAAGATGGGAAATTGAACAGTGCGATGAGCTGTGGTATGTGGGTGATGCTGCTTCAGTAGGTTTCACCCAAACCACGTTGTCATACAATGGTCACATGACTGTATGCTGTATCTTTATGTGAGCACAAACACTCACACACACACACACACACACACACACACACACAGACACACAGACCTTTCCCCCCCCAATCTATATTTGCACTTTCTCACAGCCTCTTACACTGCATATACACACACCTGGCATTTTATCTTTGTCAGCATATTCTGGGTCCTTCAGCTCCCTACTGGGCTCTCAACTCCAGTGTCTCTTTGCATGGCAATCCCCTGAGCTGTGCCTACCTTTACAACACACAGGAAAAGCACACTGGCAGGTAGTTTTATACCAATGTTAACCTCTATTTACAGTATCTTCATACCAGCTCTGCATCTTGTGGCGTAAATACATTTGTGCCTGGGAAAATCTTTTTCTTCTAGGATTAGTTAGGTAGAGGCGCAGTGACATAGTGTCCTGGTGGCAGTCCAGGCTCGAGTCAGGACACTGTTTCCCCAGGCAAGGACACCAAGACCTGGCTCTCCGTCTCCATCACTCAGCTTGTCCTCCTGGAGCTACGTGGCCAGACTGCTCATCACCCCCCCCCCCCCCCCCCCCCCCCCACCCCATTCTTCATATGCATGGATTTGCATAAAACAAAGACATGGCTCTGCCTGGAATGTCTGCCATGGTTGAAACTGCTAAGAATGGGATCGACCAGACCACACCGCACGCAGCACCTCTAAGTTCAGCTGGCAGGTTGTCAGAGCACAACATCAGCATAGCGCATGGCAGGAGAACCGAGATTTACGAGGCCGCGTAAGATAGACACCCTCATGGTTTTCCACTTTAATTCGTTTAACATCCGTTCCCATGGCATTGTTTATATTCGACACCCCTTAGCAGTGAGCAGAGGGCACCTAATTCACAGTGATGACGTGGGAGGAGAATCAGAGCACTTAAAACACTTCATCTAAAGATGATTTGTCCTTGTCTTCCCTGATGGCTTTTGTCCTGCTTCCCCTCCTGAAGTTAAGTGGATCTGGCGAAAGGCCAGCTACTGATCCCGCTCCCCACTTAGAGACAATCAAGTAAATAACAGCAGATACAAATACATGTACACAAGCACACACGCACACACTTACAGTATATTCTTCTTTACGTTGGTGGAAAAAGTTAGAATGCAAGTGCTCTTTCATTCTTATGTGTCATGATGAAGCACATTGCAGCTGTTTGCTTTGGAACAATCAGTGAAACCATTACAGGAACATTTGGGTTTGCAATATACATTCTCCCAGGTTGCCCTTTGTCTCTGCAAATTGATATCAAGATTCAAATCTTATTTTTCACTCTTTGTCACTGGTGCAAAACACGAACATATAATTTGCATTTGAATGAGTGGCTCTAATCTGCCGGTTGTCCTGATCGGGGATGAAGGATGTTGCCCTAGACTCAAAACTTCATGTGTCGTGTGATTTTTCTTCTCCATGGATAAAATAAGGTATGATAATGGATACGATATCAAGGAACGTTATTGCATCAGGGAGATAGATGTAGAGAGATATTGCCAACATTAAGAAGGTGTGTGCTCTTTAGCATATACAATGCATTATGTATCCATTATAAAAAGCTTACAGACATGCATTATGTTTTAAAACATTCAGTAGCATATGTGGTGACTATTTTCTCCGTTTAATATGACTGCCTGATATTAATGAATAGTTAATATGGATTTAATTGTGTAGTGCTATAAATGAAAAATGCATACCACAAATAATACTTGTATAACACAGCTATGTTTGGTAGCATGTGCAAAGCTGTGGTATTTTTCTAAAGAAGGAATATTTTGTAAACTCAACAAATCTGATATTGCTCACTATTATTAAGCAGAAAATGTAAAAAAAAGGCCAAAGTTATCAGACATTTACCTCAAGAATCCTCAAGGGCACGGAGGGATGGTGCTTGAAATCACAGATGGAGAAATTTTCTTGATGACCTGAAGAAGCAGAAAAGATTGGACAAACAGATCAGATAAATTAATATCAGCGTAAATATGCTTGGTGTCACCTTTTCACCCTCTTCCCTTCTGTCTGCATCAGACACGGATACACACAAGAAGGCCCACACAAACAATCACAAAGAAACAAGCAGACTCATTCTGAGCAAGATTCACTCTCACCTTGTCTCTTTGGTGAAATACACTACATGTATCATAGTAAATGTTTGATGCTGGGGGAATTGTAAAAATTTACATGCAAATAGATTCTACAGGCGGAACCCATGCATCAAAACACAAGAGACAAAACTAAAATATCTAAGCGTACGTACGGCGTGCCATCACACAGACAAGGCAAAATAGATTTTTTTTCTTTTTTTTTTGTAGAGGCATTTATTTCTGTTCATCTCATTCAGTTGAATAATGAATTGTTCTAACAGGGGAGGAATCGTGGCAAATAAAAAAGAGAGGGATAAAGTCTTGTTTCCTTGCTACCTTGTGACTGAAACTTTCAGAAGTACCCTGGCAAAACATACAAAAGTGGGCATGTTTCTTTAGGCGTGTCCAAATACAGTTCATATCCCCTATAAATGTTGCAGCACAAGTAAAAACATTAGCTCAGCTCTTAGCTCCCTTTGCAGATTCCAAGCCGGGCCGATTTAAAGTTCCTGGAAAATAACAGCGGTGGAAGTAATTTGCCTGTACGCTACTGTGAGAGAAATTTTAAATCACTGGATTTTCAAATAAATGCCACATAGAACTGGCACAAAAGCAGTGAGGCAGCTGTTGTGATGACAGATGTTAAGAAAAAAACAAAAAAACCCAAAAGGCTCCTAATGGTGCTAAACTGTGATCAGCAGCCAATCAGCTGACAAATCATATCACCTGTTAGATATAGCAGGATATTATCTTTTTCATGTCTTAGGTTTGCTTTATTTCACCTGTCATTCAAGGTGAAAGTACTGAAAGTGTAAAAATACATATGCTGAGATATGACTTGGACTTACCTAAACAACAAAATTGCACTTACATCTATGCTCCATGTGTATCGCTCTGCATGCAGCTCCCTATTTCATACTGATCTGCTTTAAAAGTTACACCTGAGGAACCAAAGGAATGGACTTAAATGTGTAGAAAACAAAAACATTTGTGGATCACAGAGGGATTTCACTCATGTAGCTAGATTTTTAGTGGGAGAAATTTCACAAACATATGCCCGTTTGAAGGACTGTGTGTCTCACTTTTTCTTTTACTCCGTTACCTCTTGCTTTAGCGCTGCTGCATTTATTTAAGTCACAGGCTCTTGGTTTGGGTCCATTTACAGACATATAAAATTACTCCAGCAAATCCCTACCACCTCATTACCAACATAACCTGCAGCCAGTCTTTCAAGGACGACTCTCTAATGACACCACATGTATCAGCTTAATGTCTATTTGAAGCAAGCTTTCTGCCACAAAAGAAAGAAAGAAATGTACAGACATCATCGACAGCAAAGTGTAAAGTGTAAGTATTGATGCTTGGCATTTATTTATTCCCAGTGAACTGCACTATTGCACCATTCCTCTCTTATACGATTGTACTATTCCTCTCTTCTACACTATGAATGTGAGAATAATGTTCCTTTTTTGTTTCTCTACTTAGACAGACCATTCACAGATGTGGCTGCCACCTGGTTGTGTTGAGACACATGACTGCCACTGCTGCTGCACATCCTCTCTCCAATCTTCTGTCGACAGTGGTTTTTTATCCACAACCAAACTCATATAAAACATTTTCTAACTGTTGAAAATGAAAATAGTAAAAATGAAAAACAGAAGCAAATTCCATGCAAAGGTAGGACGAACAAATGTGAAAATGCAAAGAAAAAAAAAGAAAGATCTTATTCCATTTATTTAGGATTTCTCATCACACTAAGACAGATTAGAAAAATATGTTTTCAAAAAACACAGTTGAAACTTGGCACTTTTGATATTTTGTGAGTCTTTATTAACCCCAGTTGTGTAAAATGTGACAGAAAGCCACAGCTTAACACACCCACTCTGAGTCAGTTGATATTTAAGACAGGAACAATGAATTTACCCCATGTACGACTGGCTGCTTTGTTTTGCAACACCCACAATGAAATGGTTGAATGAAGTGGGTGTGAGAACAAGATTAAATGTTCACCATGTGTGCCACAAATACTACCAGACTCAGAGTAAATAAATAAATAAATGAATACATGAAAATAATCAGAATGAATGGCAGCGTGAAAATAAACCTGGCCAGCTTAAGCCAAGTGCCACTGCCCTTCACAGCATATTTAATAGACACTTTTCCTGCACCCTGTATTTAAACTCCTTTTGTATGTGTGCTATTATAGTATAGTATTATTATATAATCTTTTCACAGTCAAAAATATATTATTTGTTTTCTTGCGATTCAAAAAATGTAAAGACAGGAGTGAAATATAGGATGTTAATAATTAAAAAATATATATAGCAGGGAGTTGTGCTGAATTTACTGGATACTATCCTATGTCGGATGTGTGTGTACATCTCATTCATTGGGTTCTGGGCAGAGGAAATGAGCATGAGTTCCCCAGGGCAGGGATTACTCTAATGACTTTGAGAGCAGCCTTGTGCGCTGTAACTTTTGACCTCTGCTCATCCTCTTTGACAAAAAACACAACAAGAGAAATACACATGCATGCACACACACGGATTCATGCATCTACACCTACAAACACATACATGACATACCGTGCGAAAACAGCAAGACAAAAAGATTTGCTCCAATTGTTCCTCTGGCACTTTCTAAAGCCTGTAAGAATTCAAACCCCCAACAGGCTCTTATTTTTGGTTGTGTCGACTGGCGTACTGGTACTTAACTGAACATTGTGCTGCATCTTATGCTGTCAACCTGCATAGCGCCAGCGTTCCACATGAGTGTCTCGCTGGAAGATCGATCATTTTATCACTTACATAACCGCTGCGTACGGGCACCACAGATATAAGAGGAAACATCTTTTTACAAATTAGATCTGTCTTCGCAAAAAATGCCATTTAGCTCGGGGACTCGACTGTTTGAGTCACACACACAGAGAAGCACAAGTAACACTGTGGTCTGAAACAAAAGAATGGAGCAAATCTATTCTTTTGTTTTCGTATTGTAAGTTGGTGAGTGTGTTTTCATGTTTAGTATGCGTGCGGTGACTGTGTTTTAGTGGATGGACATTAGAGGTCTAAATGATCTGTTCCAATGAGGAAACAATCAAACTAAATAAGTTTAAGAGTCTTATAAAGAAGCCCCTAGCAAAAAACAAATGTTCATTTTTTACATGCCACTCAAAACACATCAAAAAACCCACTGCACTGAAAGCATGGTTTAAAGAGAGGCAGAAAAGAAGAGACTCTTAAGCAAAGAGGAAATTATTTCCTCTTTGAAATGGCAAATACAAAAACATGTCTTTTAAATGAGGGGAAAAGCAAATGATTATCCTCTCTAAAGTCATTTCATACATTGTTGTGGTTAATGTGACATATCAGACTATAACGGTACTACTGCTTTAGATGTAATTAGATAAATTGAGGAAGAAGGAGAACGGCTTGGCTGTAAATTGCATGGTGTGTACATGCTAAGACCCAACACTGGCACAGCTGCACAGAGCTACACTCACAATTTATCATCTTTACATCGCAGGAGCCACTGGCCCACACCACTATTAATCATCAGCAAAATCATTTAATTCAGCCCAAGCCTGACTATTGTCTCAGCTTCTCCCCTCACTCTGGGCAAATCAGCCACCACAGCAGCAGTGCACACCTCAGATCTTGGGTTAAAACTGTCTTTCTCCCTCTCCCTCTCTCTCCTTTTTGATGAGCTGTGTAGCACATCATCATTGGCAGATGGCGCAGAAGCTTGCTTTTTTGCAAATTTAACAAGTATGAAATTTATAATGGCAAAGACTACGAACGGTTGAGCACTTACTGCTTTAACACACTGACAGTGCGGTTCATTTTTATGAAAGGCGTTTTTTTGTCTGTATCCGTTGGACACTGATAATCTGTGGCTAAACTGCAAAACAGAAGACAAATCCAGATTGAATCTGTCTTCAGAAACTGTAGCGTTTCCTCAAAGTGTATTTTGGCACGTTGGTCTTCCTGTTTCAACAAACAAATTGTTCCGAATGCCCACAAGCCTATTCCTTGTGAACTCAGCAAAGAACTTTTCCTCTTGTCTTTCTGGAAAGTGGCAAGTTTAGTTCGTGTCCAAGTGCAGTCCAAAAGTTATGTTAAAAAGAAAATCAGCATATGATGTAAAAACACCAAATGCAATGCAAGATTGGGTACAGCAGAGCAGAGACTCTTCTGCTAACCACAGTGGCTGACATAAATTGGCACCTTCTCCAGCGCCCCCTCACATGCCTGACATGGCTGTGCCCTCCGTGCGCCCCGTCTCCCACAGCATGTTTGCTTCAGGCCAACGTCCAGACCCACTGACAAAAAGGAAAGAGCTGGATGAAACTGAGAAAGCCAAACGATGACATGCTAATGACTGTAAGTGCAGAGTGTCCGAGAAACACGGTAAGCGGGCACAACAGATAAGTAAGCAAAGAATGTGTAAAAAGGGTAAGTGAAGGGTACAAATATGGAGCATGCATCATGCACAGCCACAAGAAACTCACAGTGTTGTCATTATTACATACTGCCACTCAAGGAAACACGCACACACACATTCAGATTTACACCTAAGTCCAAATACACGCTTGCATACTCCCACATGAAGCAGCACTTAAGACAAGCACACACATATGCACAAATAGAAAGGCTCACACATGACCAGACTGTTCATAATAATGTTAACATGATTTATCAGACATAAAATCAAATTGGACTTCTGCAAATAAAAATGAGGATGAAGTTCATGAACTGAGATGCAAACACAATATTTCTAACACTTATTTTTTTGATTATAATGATAGAATCACGTTGGACTTTAAATGAAAAATGTCAGCAGGTAAGGTCTGTTTCTCCTTTTTAGGATCATCATCATAGGAAATAATAAATACATATATTTTTATTTGGTGTTAATTCATGGATTGTGAAGAAACATGCATCTCTATCATTCAACAGACTGTCAAAGCAGAAATGTTTAATTAGCTGCACGCCACTGTGAGTTATTGTTATTATTATTAGGCTTCATTAAGTTATTGCAACAATGGACTTGCATCTCTACATTTTACAATTTTTTTTTACACTGCCAGCCTGAATTGCTTTCCTTAAATGTTCAATTCATTCCTGTTTCTGATTCTTCCAAAATGGTGTAAGAAGCTCTTACTAAATTAATTCTGGCAGAAACCTTAAAAAGAGGGTAACAAGACCCCTATAAGCAGTGTTAAAATGTGGGGCAGTAATATGGAGATGACATGTTTTCTAGTTTCATTTCTGTGTGTTTCACTCACAAACAACAAAGAGTCTCAGGACAACTCAAAAGAAAAGTGAGAAACTTATTGAAGACAATTACATACATTTATTGCATATCATTTAATTGTATGAAATGAGAAACGAGCACATATGAACATCACATATGGTTAGTGAATGAAATAATTTTGCACAGCAAAATATATATATATATATGTATATATATACTATATGTAAGATGAAAGATTAATTAACATATTTTCAAAATTTATTGGCGAATAGTACTCCCCCCTTTTATACATGCAGGGTGACACTCCCTGACGATCTAATAATGTCCGGACATTATAGATTAGAATAATTACTTATTGCTTTGCAAATGTTTACGTTTATTTAAGAGAAAACAACAGTATACCCTGAACTGATGCTAATATCTCCAAATGATACGACTAAGTCGTAAACGAATGTCAGATCTATCTTCTTGGGAGATGGAAAGCTAATTTTCCACATGACATTTTTTTAGTGCATTTCTGTTCAGAATAAGTCAGTTCAATCAAGAAACACATTTTCAAAAGCACAGTAATTTACTTAGACTTGTGAGAATTGTCTTCTCCAAATATACTTTTTCTTAATATAGTTATTTAAAATATAATAATAAAATGTGTGTCGGACACCAGATCTCTCACACTTCGGTTTATAGCACATGCTGCAAAAGCGCTGTTTTATGCACTGCACAATACTGCTCACTGTATAAATTGGAGCCGAGCCAATTTCTCTTAATCAGTGTTAAAAATAGTTTTGGGCAGCAATCTTATTATTAATTATCCTAGAAATCTATATGACATAAGCTGTAGCACATGATATCTTTTGCATCATAGATTATAAAACTTTGTCTTTAAATTACGCTTTAAAAATTATTCAAATGATGACAAATGCACAATGGAATATATTTAAATAACAACATAGGCTTAGCAACAGACTAAACTTCCAGGAAATTGACTGGTAATTTCCTTCATACTGAAGTCTTTTCTTTTTCCCCTCGCACCAGGGTCCCCGCCGACAAACTTCCACCAGGAATGCCAGCGCATTCACTGCAGTCTTATGACAGCCGATGGTGGTGCACTTCAACACAGCTGAAATGCACCACTACAGGGGGTGGGAAGTCCTGTCACTTTTTTGTCTCTGTCCCAAAAAAGTGAGGAGGCCTAAATGAAGTATGAGTGCCATGCTGGAGTCATCCGACAAAATAGGACATCTTCAAGCATAGAAAGAAAAACCATACATGTCCAGCATGCAGGGCAGTTCAATAACACATCTCTTTAAAACAATGAAGAGTTTGTAATGGATACAGTCTTTTGTTGCTCCACACAATAACAAGCAAACGCATGAGATGAGGTGGCGTCAAACGGCAGGCTTGCAATCCTCCAAGTTTGGCAGACAAAAAAAATAAAAAATAAAAAAAGGAGAAAGAAAGAAAAAAAAGGAAAAAACATACTGTCGATGGATGCACTTTTGATAAGAATCTGTACACTGAATCAAAACTAAAATGATGAAAAAGGGCCAAGTTGATGAACTTCAAAGGAGTATACTTAGTGCTTGCATGCACACTTGGTATACTGCGGCATAAAGTTGGATCAACTTTCAAATATCAAACACTGCAAATCTAATGAACAGAGATGAAAAAAAATCTTGACAGACAAACTATGTGTAATATACTGAGTATGATAGCAAAAAGTAGAAAGTTTTCTCAATACGCCTCTTCTAGATTAAAAAAAAAATGCGGATAACAAAGCCCTCCAAATCTACAGCAGTGGTAGAATGGAGGGAACTTATTTTCAAAAAAAAAATAAATGTAATAAAAAAAATCAAAAAGTTGATAAATTAGTTCTTCATCTAGGCATATAGTGGGATTTGCGTCAAGTAAATAATAAAAAAAAAGAGTTTCAGAATGAAAACTTTTTACGCGGGGTGAGTTATTCATCTGATATAGTTTTATTTCGCGATAATGTCGAAACTCACATGAAAAACTCCGGAGATGAAGGGTTGTTGTCACTGCTGGATCCGTTTTCTCTGAAGCCGTTGCTGATGAGCTTCTCATACTTTTCTTTGTACGCGTCCCTCTCCCGGACCAGCCTGGAGATCTCTTGCTTTAGGTGCTCGACTTGCTGCAGGAGTTGTGTCTTCTCTCCCTCCAGGACGTGCCGCTGCTGAACTCGCTTGAACCGGCAGGACTGAGCGTAGCCTCTGTTCTTTAGGGTCCTCCTCTTCTGTTTCAATCTGATCACCTCTTCTTTGCTGACCCCCCGTAGCTGCCGGTTGAGCTCCCGCACTGACATGGTCACCAGCTGCTCGTCTGAGAAACGCTCCTCCAAGCGCATGTGTGGGTGATTTGTCCCAGAAGTGCCGTTGGACTGGACGCCCGGTGCCTGGTGGTGGCTGCTGCTGTGGTGGTGATGGTGGTGGTGGTGGTGTTGCGCTCCGTTCTGAGCGGCTGCCGCAGCAATTACTGCCGACACCACCGCCGCGGCGGACCCCATCTCTTCCCCGGCCATGGTGCTTCCTCCTCCGGCTGCACCAGCAAACTGCTGGCCCCTGGCATAGCCATCGAAAGACTGGAGCTGATGACTGCTGTTGATCAGCGCCTCGACCGCGTCTTCGGGGCTGAAGCCCAGCGCCTCTGGATTCAGCTGCTGTTGATAACCGGACATCCAGTAGAAATCCTCAATGTGTGTCTTCTGCTCACTCCCCGAGCCCGGACTGGGCGCCGAGAAGCTTGGGGAAGGGGGCACCGAGCTGCAAGGCGTGCTCATCGGGGTGGAAGACAAGGATCCCCCGGCGATAAGGCGACTGCACTGGCTGATGTTGCGATCGGGCTCCACCGGCTCCTTTTTCACTTCAAACTTCATCAGATCGAAGTCATTAACATATTCCATGGCCAGGGGACTGGTGGGCAGGTCGGAGTTGCTCATTGCCAGCTCTGATGCCATCCTCTTGCTGCTGACAGTCCTCCAAACGGGGTGAAGCGCAGCTGTCAAACTGGGTTGGTTGGGAAGAACGTGAGCCAGTTTGATTTTTACGCGTTTGTCTTGAAACTGAAAAAAAAATTAGGTTTTCGGCGTCCTTTTTGCAGGCGTGTGTGAGTAGAGTTTCTTTGCAGAGTCTATTGCACTGACACACCAGTGCCGCGCGTACGAGTAGCGGAGTCCTTTTTCAGCATGTGAAATTCGGCGGTTTTGGATTTCAAACATTTAACACTTTACGGGGTCTTCATGAATACATTGCGCACGCGGAGAGGGAAACACACCGAAAGTCAGGGAGTAAAAGCTCACTTGCACGTTCTAACCCGCTGTCTGGTGGGGCGATTTTTTAGTGGGATCACACAGCAGATGAGTTTAAGCATTGTAGCCGCTCTGACGTCAGGCTGGAAATGGGAAATTGACTCGGACGACGAGCCAATAGGGTCGCACACTCTAACAGCTAATTAACATATTAGTAGCCCAGAGAAACAAAACTTTTATCTACCGTCAATGGACACCAGCTGACTGTCAGTCGGAGCATAGATCCTTTTGTTCTTTTTATCGTAATTTCGATTTCATTTTATTTATTCATTTATTTATTTATTACTTTAATTTTTCGAAGTATGAGTTGTAAGTGGAACGAAACAGAGCATGCTCTAAATTAATTACAAAACGGAGTTGTAATGCTTGACATATAGAAAAAAGAGAGAGAAAGCAATCATAAAACAGACCTTATATAGTTCGCGTAACCCTGTAGCATAAACTGGTTATACATTTTAAGACATAAGTCTTAATCTTGCGAACATTACCTGAACAAAACCCGTCCACTTCCTAATGGCAATGTCTGTTATTTGTCTGAATGTACAGCACAATTAAAACCTAGAAACTATGTTTTATCAACTAAATATAAAACAAAAGTGGCATGTAAGAAGCTGCGCGGTAACTTGACAAAAAAAGGAAAAAAAAATATGAAAGGCGGATTGAAGAGGTTGTCATGTTTTCGCACACCATTGTAAAACTCAACACTGCCACCTTTTGGGCACGCTAGTGAAAGGGATTCCCCTCCCCATCCAGTCCACACAATCTTCGAAGAGTTGAAAGTTGAATGAAACATATACTGTTTGCAAAACACAAACACATGTACACGGTCCGAGTGTCGTTGTTTTCTTCACTTCAGTAGGAAAAAGACACGGTACCCCGACTGAATTTCAAACATCTTACATAACAAAGTCAATTTTGTGTTTTATGGAAGAAGTCATATCAGAGGAAGTGGATGCGAGTGAACCCGCTGCTCAGTGCAAACTGATATTCTGTGGAAGCCATAAAACTCACTTTATCTGAGTACATTGCTCTTTATCTCAGTTCAGAGGTCTCCTGCATTTAATTGACTTGTGTACAACACTAACATGAGTCAGTCTTGGTAATCCAGCTTCCACTGTAAGTCCTGTCTAGTTAGGTGGTTATAGTTTCTTTACCCCAGTGGACACAGCATGACTTTTAAAAATCAGAATAAATAGTAAGGTTTGTATACAGTTTGTATACAGTGTATTGTTGAAGTCTCCCATTGATGTATAGGCAAAATGCAATTAACTAATGACTAATAGCAGCTCACTTAAAAAAAAATAAAGAAGTTTGTTAGGGAAAATAGTGATGTAAGCCACACTGGCCCTGTCTTACTGGCCACAAGAGTGTTGATTTCTTTTGTGGCCTATTTTGACATGGTGCTGACAAATAACCATTTCTTTCCTGTGACAAAAGCCTATAATCATAGCCTGTTTCCCACTCTCTCGCCAAGCGTATGATCTCATCTTTGCAATGATGTATATTTTTAGATTTTTGTATGCGTCCTATTTAATGATAGTTCAACTCAGTCATGTGGAAGATGATCTTGACAATAAACCAGATATGTTACAACCACAGGGAGTTCAACACTTGGCCTATGGCTGCCCAAAACTATAGTTCAGGTTATGTCTTTATGTTTTGTTGACATAACATTATGGGGGTTATTTGAGTATTCTGATTCTGATTTTCTAATCTTTAAATGGGAGAAATACTAGTTATATATTATTAATTTGGTAAAACAACAGACTTTCAAATATTTTATTACATGTTGAATAAATTAGAATAAATGCAGAATAAAAGTTTTTTTATAAGGCTGTGTTTTGTGTAAAAACATCATCATTACTGTTACTGAATGTTTTATTAAAGGGTAAGTGGATGTATCCATTTGTATGGTAATTGAACGCTACATATGGCTCAAATAAAATTCAAACAAAACCCTATTGTTTGTATTTCCATTCTGTTGCCTTGTCATCTGTTTGGGCTTACCTGTTCACAGGAAGGCACAGCAGCGGCCTGTTCCCTGGGGTGCGGCCACAGCGGACTGAGACTAATATACAAACGAAGGGAAAGCTCATTAGTCATGACAGAAGAAAGTGGCGAACCTAATTTAGCTGCTTTTGTGCCTTTGAAGTTATTGATGATGCAGACCTGTGAGAGATCTACATGGAGAGAGATCAGTATATGCTGTGAAGACAACTTATCGAACCGGAAAGACAGAAGTTCATGGGATGAGATGGAACTGCAACGCGAGGTTGACTTATAAAGATATGAAACCATCCAGCCTCATTAAATAGGTCACCTCATTTTTTCGCTCAGGCTTTTCAGCAATTTGAAAAAAAAATCTGGAGGATTTTTGAAACCACAGCAGCCACATGAAACTGAAGAGTGCAGCTTGTTAGAATGCTGTAGTCATTAATGTTCAATGTGTTCATTGGCTTTCCAAACTTAAGAATTGTGAGACACGACTGAAGAAGGCTATTTGTGTATATACTCACTTTGTGTGTCACCTATTTCACTCATTTTATTTAATTAACACACATTTTCATGAGTTGCCACAAGGGATGAATCCACATATTTGATTTGGCATGGATTTTTGCCCTTCCTGGCATAACTCTCTCTGGGATTTGCGTCCCTTCCCACTCTTGAGCTGGGGATCTTTCACAGGTTAGGTGAATGTGTTAAACACTGAATTATGGATCCACTTACATGTTATCAATTCATTTGCTTTGACTATGTTAAATTTGCTAATCTAAAATGCATCATGTAAACCGTCAATTGTAATGCATTAAACACTGTGTAGTTGTTTACAATGTACTGTTTAAAAACCAAACAAGAAACAAACAAGAAACAAAACAACATGATTTGTAGTTTCGGTCTGTAATGGTTTATGATCAATCTAGGGTGTTGGTCATGTTCTAATTTGATTTTCTGACCTCAGATTAGATCTGAATATTAAAAATGGCTTTGATAAGATAAGGACTCAAATTTACTTCTCCATTACTTCTACACACATCTGTTGTGTGACTCCTTGTCTATGGTGACACTTATTTTTTACAAAGTATATAGTCAGTAGTTGTTAAACCTTAGAAGAGAATTTTAGCATTAACATGAATACTGTCTTTTAGGTTGGTCTTTTGCTGTTATCTGTCTGAACTTCTCTCATTCTGGTTAGCTCTAGAGGCAACTGAGCGGGAAGATCAGAGGTCAGTAAGTTGTCTTTTGTATCTGTTAGACTTTGTGTGTGGTGGGAAGCGGGTTCCTCAGTTTCAGGCAGGGCTAACCAGAGACTGTTACTGTATCCATGTTGGCACTCAAATACCTGGAAGCCGATAGAGCCTGCAACCATACAGGCAATTTAGCTAAAAAAAAAAGTTTAGTATGGCTTTACCAAACAAGAAACCAAATAAAACATAGCATTCTGAGCATTACTTTTAACTGTAAAATGAAGAAGACAGAAAGGCAACCCATGCTTTACATCTTTACTAACGAGACGAGCTGGTATTGCACTGCAATGCAGTTTCATCAACAGTTTAGTGACAGCAACAAAGCCGGAATATCAATTTTCACCCTACCAACAGAATGTGGGCACAGCCATGTCACAATTACTTTAATCCATTAGTCAGAAGAAGGGTGAGGCAGAGAAGGGTGTGATAGAGGACAGAGAAGACAAAATAAGGTCAGGAGGAGAGCAGGGTTGTAGTCTGAGGTGGAGTTTGGTTAGCCACTGTGACACCGGTGGAAAATATTTCGTAGCCTACAGCTAGTGGGCTTTATGTAAGCAGAGAACTCTGGTGTCTGAACACAAGTTAGTATCAGTTCTTTGGCTTCATGGCAAAAAACCAGCAGTAAACCAGTGAATGTGTTACAGTGCTGTGAACAGCACAGTCACACATGTTTTCTAGACTGTCTTAGTGTCACACGACCCTGGGATGACTCATGAGTTTTGAGGTTTTATCTCTCATATTCCTTTCCCTCCCCCCCAGCTGAATATTTGTCAAGTTCAGTGACATGGTTGCTAATTAATACTATGTGCCCAGTAAATGTATGCTATTCTCTTCACCCCATGCTAAGTAATCGAAGAAGACTAGTCAATATTGTACAAGAGTTGGCAGAGTGGTTTGCATATTAGCCATAATTACATTCACATGAACATAATGTATTGGTTTACTGTCATGTGTAAGGTTAATGTGTATCACAATTAAATGATATATTAACTGGTGGATAGCTTTCCCAACGATGTGCACTTTGTGGGAATAGGTTAATTGAAAAATCTAAATTGCCCATAGGTGTGAATGACAGTCTGTCTCTGTGTGCTAGCCCTGCAACAGACTGGCGACCTGTCCAGGGTGTACCCCGCCTCTTTCCCTATGACAGCTGGGATACACTGAAAAAAAGTCCATGTTGGATTTACTTGATTCAATAGTGGACATTGGTTGCACACAAATGTTTTGCTTTGGCAGAAACTTAAACAACTGAGTTAAATCAACACAACTTTTTCATATTCAGTAAACCTGTGCATTTTGTGTTCATTAAACGTGATTGAAACATGTTCAGATGAAGTAAGTTGAGCTCTTGGAATATTTTAATCCTTCACAATTTTGTCATTTTATTTTAACACTATTCAATAACTTTTACCCCAATACTACTTGGTCACTTAAATACTACATGCTGTCTTCATATTACATAATCTTCAACAAAGTCTAGATCCTGGTTACCATAAAAATTGAATGGGTCTTCAACAACTACCATCCTTCTATCTTTATCCTGGTTGCAGGAGGGCTGGGAAATAACCCTGAAGTGATAGGTTACAAGGCAGGGTACACCTTGGACAGCTGACCAGTCTATCACATAGAAACAAACAACCATTTACACTTACATTCACAGGTAATTTAGAATCATCAGTTAACCCTAACTCTAATAACTGCATGACTTTTAACTGCGGGAGGAAACCAGAATACCTGCAAACTAGCCAGAATGTGGATTTGAACACAGGACCTTAGGAAAGCTATGATTTCCTGTATTTGATGCAGAATTTTTTTCTTTTTGTAATATTACACAATAAATAGCAATAGCATGCACGTGGTGCGTGTGTAGTTG